TGAGCATATAGTTCATCAGTAAAATAGCGACCTTAAGTGTTGTTTCGACGCTTCTCTATCATCGATCTTACCGGGTTCTTGATCCTTACCGGCCATTTTGGATTTTTATGGAGGTTTCCTCTGACAACTCGTTCCCAGACTTCCGTTCCCCGTTCCCCGCTCCCCGCTCCCCGCTCCCCGCTCCCCGCTCCCCGCTCCCCGCTCCCCGTTCCCCGTTTTAGTAACATCCGAATAAAATCCTTTGCATTTTGTGACCTAAAAACGTTTAAAGATTTCTTGCTCGCATGTTGCTTTAATCAGCACGCACTTCAAACAATGTAAATAGATGAAACGATCGATAACATATTTTTTACCTGATACCGATGTGAGTTAAAAATTCGCTCCAGTTCTGTTTGTCTCACCCAAGACTGACATTTCTTCATGGAGGATAACTATGCCGCTTTATAACTCGTCCGAAGTTTTTGTGCCAGCTAAACAATATGAAAACACTATTCACAGTGACTCCTTGGATATTGAAAAGACTGAACGTGACGCACTATTATGCCTTTGTTTACTTCTGATCACATCTTCAAGCGAAGTCTCTCTTTTCAAGCGATTCATCTCAATGCACAGTAATTGACCCTTATATTGGTTAAAATCCTATGGTTCATTTATATTATTTAATGCTGTTTTTGCCCCTCACATTGACTGTGTTCGTTCGTATTCAAAACACCTTTACGAAAATAAAGGTCGTATAAGTCATGTGTTTTATGTTTCGAGATAAATGGATTATACGTTTTTTTAAGTTTCCATTTTGCGGTGACTTCAGTTTACATCTCCATAAAATGGTAAAAGAAATATCAAGAAACATCACGAGAGCTGAAAATTTTCAAAGGCATGTTTCTGAAACTCGCTAATGACATCAATATAGCGTTCTTGCTGAATGGGCGAAAACACAGAATTGTGATCACAAGATCTTGTACAAATTTAATGATAAAAGCTTAGCAAGATACAGATACAAACAAAAGCAAACCCCCTGAAACCTCGACGTGGGCTACACTTCTTGTATGCTCTACTCAGTTACCAAACCTTTTCAGTAATAGCTCCTATTTTCCTCAAGTCGCTGTCTGTGAAGCTCCCGGATGGGATGTCCCGGTGAAGCTTTAAACTTGTGTGCGAAATTCTCAGAGTTCCTATTTTTGTCCGTGTCTTCTTTACCCTCAGTATCCGAAATTCAGAACTCCAAAGTGGCGTGTGTTGCATTAAATAGAAGGAAATATTTAAAGGAAAAGCCAGTTTTCTAACATAGCAAAATTGTCACGTCCGTCGCTCATGGACGTGCGTCACATCAGGATTCATCTGCCATTCATCGGCAACTGAGTTGTTAGCTTCACTGACTATGACGGCTTACAATCAAGTCATCAGCCATAGTGTCGTCAACTGGTGAAATACTTTGCTCATAAATTGTGTTTCTTAATTGCTCGTGTACTACATCGATCGATAGTTCACGAAGCGGCCACGGCGTTCCAAACCTGACGCTCACAGTCATCTTTTAGTGTGAACCTACCGTGAACGGCGTGTCGGTTTGAATGCAACGCGAGCATTTCTCTGAGTTTCCCAGCGCCAACATCATCTAACTGACTTAAACTCGAACAATAAAAAAGTTATAGAGTGACTCCCATGATCGAATCGCTTCGAACAACGCAAATAGCTTTCTTCAGGTTTGCAACGCCTTGTGGGTTTTTCAGGGGGAGCGCAGACAAGGTACAAAAAGTATCCGTACAAGGCTCCGTGCAAGAGAAACTCATATGAAACCATTTGTGAGAACATCGTTTCTCGGTACCAGACCCTCGTGTCTTCCCTCCCCCGGGAGGCCGTTTTTCGCCGCAGACGACCTAAAACCCATTTTATGACTGGGCCGCACAGGCAGCCTAGTAATAAGCGTCTGAGGCCAAACACGACTCATACGCTCGTGTGATAATGTGAAACATGACCATGAGAGTCTGCTTGAACAGATCGGTTTTTCTTCTTTTCTCTCTCTCGTGCGAATTATAACCTTTTCTCCTCCACGAACAGGTTCTAAGCCTCCTAGTCTCGAAGATTTGTATTGTTTCCCTCCATTCACTCTATAAATTCTATGTTTCTTGTTTGCTATTCTCACACTGTAATAGCCTTCCACCTGCCTCTCTTTCCTTGCTCCTCCACTTTAATTGTGATTTTCATGGTTATCTAACTCGTTCTCGTTCAATTTGCATAAAATGCCCCTCAGGTATCAATTTGCTATTGGTTCTCAAGTCCCGATTATTTGGCCAAGGATATCCCACTGATGTCCCCTTGACTGTCCGTAACAGCCTTACCACCACTGAGTTTAAAAAGAAACTAAAACTTTACTTTTTAAGCCTGAATTGAATTAGTGCGGGATTATCATAGTTTATTATTAGTTTATTTTTCACTAGTACTTGTAGTTTTATCTCTGCTATAGGACTGCTTGCATTACTTAATTTAAGTTTTGTATCTTGTTTTAGTTTTTTAATTTAGCCTTCAGTGTACATTTCTACATAAAGTCATTTCTGTCATTTTGACCACAGGTCGTATAAGCCCCCGGCTTTGGCTTTCTGACTGAGTTTATACTATATGAACGATGGAATAATAAAGTTAAAGTTAGTAGCACTACAGAGAATTACAGTGCATACTGAGTAATCATTTCCTGTGGTGTATGGTTCTTTAGGTGTTCCTGATAGGAGTTGACCTCAGATGCAGTTGTAAAGTGTTTTAATTTTCTTTGGCCTCTGTTTAAGCCTAAAGTTCTAATTTAGTATTACGGCTAAATAAAGATTTTAATTTCTATGGTTTTCTCCGTAAATCCTGCATCTGCGGAATAACCACATGCTTGCATGTAAGTTTCTTCGTCCGGGAATGTGATTATTTCCTGCTATGCCCGGGGGGAGGAGACTCCCTTTGATTTCCTATACAGGGAGGCTCCGCCCGAAATCCCGGAGAGGTACTCAACAAATATTTGTACGGGGAGGCTCCGCCTTGAGGTCCAACCCCTTACCCGTCGAGAAAGCGTTCTATATTTGTGACTAATTCCTATTTTATGACAGTGCGGGTTTCCTGCTGTTAAAAGGGGTAAAAAGTTCTAAGCAAGGTATGTGAAAGGAGTACCATTTGTCAATAGAAGGAATACGAAATCGTGAAAAATAATAATAATAATACTTATATAGCGCCGATATCAATATTGCTATTTTCATCAGCGCTTAAAAATAAAAATATTAAAAAATAAAAATAAAATAAAATAAAAATGATGATAATAATAATGATAATAAGTGCATAAAGTATACATGCAAAAAGTGCATGAACCTACCAAAAAGAATAAAACAATTATGTTAACACTAAAACTATAAAATCGTAAAAAAACTGCGTAAAACCTGCTAAAAACGAGATTAAAAAGCACATAAAATCACAAAAAAGCATTCTGAAATAAAAAGGTTAAGGGGTGGGCCTCCGCCGTATAAAAATTTGTTGAGTACCCCAAACTGAAAAAAAACGCCAAACTGAAGTTATAAATAAAATATCCTTCCAAATATAATAATCGGGGCTTGAGGACTAATAGCAAATTGATACCTGAGGGACAATTTATGCAAGTTGAACGAGAACTAGTTAGATAAGGAAGCAAGGAAAGAGAGGCAGGTGGAAGGTTATTTAAGTGTGAGAATATAAAACAAGAAACATGGAATTTATTGAGTGAATGGAGGGAAAGAATAAAAAGCTCCGAGACTAGGAGGCTTAGAACGTATTCGTGGAGGAGAAAAGGTGATAATTCGCGCGCGAGAGAGAAATTTAAAGAAGAAAAACCGATCTGTTCAAGCAGACTCTCATGGTCATGTTTCACATTATCACACGAGCTTATGAGTTGTGTGCTCATTTCTGACTGAATCGATTGTTGTTTCGGTGAGCATTCGTGAAATAGCGTAAACAGTCTCTCAAGAAACAATCCACGGATTCTCGAACAAATCTGTTGTCGGGGAGCCAACAACCACCACTATTATGAGGGCAATGAATAAGAACCAAACCTTGCTCGAAATTAACGCGGCCTCTGCAGTCATGCTTGATTCAAGCTGAAGTTACTTTTCAGCTCCATCGTACATGGAGGAGTTTTTTGCTGACAGTATAATTCGGTGCCTCTTACACGACGACTTTCTGTGACCCCATATATATATATATATATATATATATATATATATATATATATATACACACGCTTGTTTGTAACGCATGTATATGGGCTTTTTTGTAGATAAGAAAGTGATCATTTTTTGCACTACGTTTCATTCAGTTTGTTGTCTATTCCATGCGGAATCCTGTTGTTTATCGAACCGTGAAAAAAGTAGTGTTTTGCTAACTATTTAAGTTGTTATGTAAACCTTAACCATGGATAATAGAAAGACTGGATAGGAAACTTATGTCACGTGGGCTGATTTCTAATCGCCGATTGGCTGGTTCGTGCTTCAAGATGGCGTTGACTGGTTCCATCATAGTGGAAATCTGTGACGAAACGATGGCGAAAATGTGGTGCAAACCAGTCGAAATGTAGGGTTTGTTTGCCTGCACGTTGTTCTTTTTCGGAGTTTTTAATGCTACTTTAATTTTTGGTGTGTGTTGTTCCCTTCGTTTGTTGTCTTACGGCGATGGCGACCCTTCAAAGCCACACTTGAACCTTCGAGGTAAGCACTTCTTGTTGTTGTTTTGTGTTATTTGTCATTGTCTTTGAGAAAATTTCGTCCCAAAAATTGGCCTTACAGAGCCATATGGTGAACTGCAGTGAAAGAGGGCCTGGTTAAGGCATGGATTACGTTCTAATTCGCTTCGCTCAAACGAACGTAAATTATTTACCGCTTAAATAACCGCAAACACCAGGCGAAATCAGATATGGGTGGATCGCGTGCGAACCCTAACACTTTAATGAAAAGTAATCTTACAGCATTGGTAAAGGAAAAACAGATAACATATTTAAATATGAGTTAAATACCGAAATGTTTCGTCACACTTAAACGATTACATTCTGTCTCTAAAACGTACATGTCTTTTGCTTCGTCTGTTTTCCACCGCCCATGAAGTTTTAACAACCTCTCAGAAACGGCTTTGGAAGCGTTATTACTGATAACTGCTGAAGCACCCCCTGAACGCAGACTATGTAGGCCATATTCCTTGGGGTCATAGCCCAAATCTTTCAAAGTAGTCTTAAATATTTCCCTGCAGCGAGTATAGGATAACTTGCCATTCCTAAGGGTATATCCCGACTTGTTCTTCGTTAATGGCCTGAATAAAGGCAAGTGACTAGACAGATCCAAATTGGCTGCTTCAATATACCTACGTAAGATAGCTACTGGGCAGTATTTGTTCTCTAACTTAGCAATATAAACATAATTGCCCTCTCTATATACATCTCTATATACATCCGTTTTACTCCTTGGCACAAAAATTTTAACAAAACCATCGCAAAACGTGAGGTGTTTCGGCTGAATATTAGCCACCTCGTTAAAACGAAAAAATCCTGCAAAACCTAAAGAACTTATTGCGGCAATACGTAAGTCCTTTAAAGATGCTTCCTCAGCGCCATGTCTGTCAATAATGCTTCTAATGATAGCAGGGTCCACGGGTTTTTTCTTGTGAACTGGATTGCTCCTTGTCCTCTTGGCGCACTCAATCCAAGTTCTTGCAACAAGCGTTATCCAAAGGATTGGGACCATCATCAGGAGCAAAGGAATGGAACCATTTCAGCGCAGCATGGACCAAAACCATTGCGGCCGGGGACCTAAGCTGTTGGTCTAATCCAAATAGATAAAGGGCGACAACAGAAGAAGAAAATGGCAACTGTAGCGCAATTTTCCGAGTCCTACACCACAGTAAAAACTTGTTTATTTCCTTAAGATATTTCTTCGCAGTAGAGTCCGCCCTAGAACAAAGTAAACTACTAAATAAAGAATGAAAATCCGGCCTAATAGCAAGAGGGAGTACCATCCATGCCTTACTTGCAACTACGACCTGCAAGAAAAAATTATATCACCAAAACTTTGCAACAACGGGATAGCGGCTTTGGGAAATGAAACACAAGCGATGATAGCGATTCTAATAAAAGGCCCCATGCCTATGACGCAATGTCCGCAGGCAGCATAATAGAAAGAAACCACAGCGACCTCCCTGGGGCAAAATAGGCATGCAAAGTAGCTCCTAAACAAAGCCATAGCGAAAAACCTACAAAGAAAACTAATAACAAACGCGTAAAAACTGCATATATATCCTAAACGCGACTTGCTCTAACAGATCATTTAAATCCCCCAAAAAGGCCCCATAAACGACAGGCAAACGAATATAAAATAGGCAACACCCTATCTGGGACACAGTCACCTCGAACACTTAAATAACCTAACAATCGGAAAAAACAAAAAGTTACAGCCTTGATAAGAAAGGTAAGTAACCTAAACCAACAAGAATAACGCAGCTCAAACTTGTGAAAAAACCTTGGCCGGAATAGCAGGTTGAGTTACGATTCGCAAACCAGTGTCAAAAAAAAAGGGACACAATTTTCCATACGTGAACAGGTCTCTCATTGTCGAGAGAACTCGAAAACTCGTTCTACTAACAGAAATCCAAAACGACAGAAATCTTCTCCGACGGACGCAGTCGTCCCTTCACATGACCAGTGTCATATACTCTGGACACAGCTGTCCATGCTATTAATGACCAGTGTCAAATCTTGCAAATACCAGTACTAAAAGCTAGTTCAGAATGACCTACTCGAAGGGCAATAAAAGTTGGATAATCCTTACAAAAATTCAAATCTAAGCGCGACAGCCTCGCCTGTAAAACGAGGCGAACCAAGGAATGAACTTAAATTTCTTCCCAGGGTGAGAGCTCGGGATGCATTCAGCGTAAAACATCCTTTCATGAACAACCGATATTTACTAGTCAGAAGAGGCCAAAAACTCGACGAAGGTCATAATGGGACTACAAGAGTAGCCATTGCTTTCTGTAGGCTCAAATAATGGATAACGCGGGCGACAAGAGAAACTGGAGGAACTACTAAACAGTTCTCGGAACTTAACTCTTGGGCAAAGAAGTCAATTCCTGACGTACCCGGATTCCAGAAACGCGAAAAGAATCTAGGAAGCTTAGCTGTATAATAATTGGCAAAACAGTCAACTGTATGTGGGCCCCATAACTCCTCCACACTTAGAAAAAGATCATGCATGATTTGCCAATCGTCAAAATCTATAAGGCGACTGATATAATCCGCCTTCTCGTTCTCAGTTCGTGGGATCCACTGCACCTCCAAACGAATAGAGTGCTCCGAGCAAAACTGAAAAATTTTAATAGCAAGCCTGTGCAAATCCAATTTCATGCTACCGACTTCTATAATTCTAGCCGCCGCCTGGCTATCAGTGAACCACTTGACCAGTGAACCTTCCAAAATTGGCGCAAAAGACTCTATCGAAAAATCAATGGCTGCAAGTTCTCTCC